TTCATAGGCTGGGGACTTGGTTGGCGCTTGGGGATTGTCGGGGGGCCCATGAGCGGTCGGTGCCGCCTGTAATGGCGGGGTAGAAGTAGAGCTTGGGACCGGGCCGCAGGACTGGCGGATGGTAGTGAGGAGGCCTGGGCGCCGAGGCCCGGCGTGGGGCGGTGGCGGCCTTGGTGGGTAAGTCTGGGCCCCCCCCCCGCGCCGGGGCCCCCGTCGGCATGGGGCCCCCGGCCCCGTCGCTTGGTTCGCCGCTCTCTGGTGCAGAGGGGCGCAAATTTCATCCTGGGCAGCCATTCCCTGGCATGTGCGGTCATGCCGCCGACCCTGAAGGTCTCCGCGCCGGCCTAGCCCCGGTGCGCGGGCTGCCGCCCGTCCAGCTAATGAGGGAGATGTTCCTGGCCAGGCGCTGGCGCGCAGGCTGGTGCTGCAAGGAATGCTTGATCCACCAATGGGACGTGACCCCGTCAGCAGTGAAGTACGTACTCGACAGGCACGGCCCACTTGTATACCCCGGCCCAGGCGCCAGACCCCTCGCCGCGCTACCCGGCATCCCCGCCGCCCCGACAGGGGGCGCAGCGCGCCCCAGCCAGGAGGAAGCACCAGAGGGCGAGCAACAGCGCGACACCTGGGCGAAGCAGATGACGGCCAGGAAGACGCACGTAAAAGTCGCGGCGCAGATCAGGGGCCAGGGCGACGCAGGGACAGACAGAGGCGGGTCCAAGCACGCGGTCCCAGAGACCAGCGTGGCAGCCCCGCCAGCCTTGGAACGCGCGTCAAGCGGCTGGCCCCAGCAGGGCAGCCGCCCCCGCGCGGAAGAGCGCCGCGACCGCGCCCTTGTCCATGCAGACAGCCCAAGACCCACCAAGGAACGACGCCTGACGCCCCCCGACTCGCTCCCGCCTGCGCCGCGGGACAGCGAGCCAACCCCTGCTCCTCTCGCCGCGCGACCCGCGGCGACCAAGTCCGTTGGGGCACCGCCGGCCGCTAGCGCAGCCCCTGACCCCCTCCCCGAGCGCGAAGATCCCAGCCGCCGGCGAGCGCCAGCAAGGGCGCGTCCCAGACGAACCCCTCCAGGGCCCCACCCGCCCAATCGCGACGGACCGCCCGGGCATCGAGGGCGGCGACTACGCGGTTATCAGGGGCGACGCCCTCCCCCGAGCCAGGCGTTTCAGATCAGCGCAGAGCGCCGAGCCCCTGTCCACGCAGCCCCTGGGCGGTGCAACATTCGGGCCCATCCTCGACGTTGAGCCCCGCGACCGGGGCGGACGGACTCTGATCGTCCGGGTGGGGGGCGAATGTCTTGAGGTCTGGGGCGCCTGGGCCAAGGCGCTGCGCGTCGACGTCCTACGCGGCGCTGCGGCGCGCCGAGCGGTCGCCTTTCTGGGCGGGGCCCCCGACGAGGCGCGCGCGCCGCAGGAGGCAGCGGCCCCCGCCAGCTCCCGGCTAGGTGCCGACCGCAGGAGTGCCACAGCGGTGCCCGCGGAAGGGGCGCAACTCAAGTCCAGGCCCGAATCCTGCGCGCCACCTACGGTCGCCAACGAGCCGCCGCCGCTCCAGCCCACCAAGGAGGAGATCCCCGACTAACCGGCGACGACCAGGGGGAGGAACAGACGCAGAGGCTTGCACTGGCCGCAAGCATGGTCCACGTAGGTTCACCCTCCACAGACCCTGACGCACGCGAGCAGGGCCAAACCGAGACGAGCCCGCGCGAGGTGCGATGCAGCAGTCCCGAGCGCGACGCAAGCAGCACGCGCCAGGACAGCCCGGCCCGCGCGCCCGCGGGACAGACCGTGCACGCGACGGCTGCCGCTGACAACCGCGCCCTGCACGCGCGGCCCAGAACCGCGGCCTCAGGGGCGGGGCGCGCCGCGCCCAGCCCCCGCCCCTCGGTCGAACGCGGGCGCGAGCGAGGCAGGCCGTAGTGGGTTCAAGCCCCTTGGGGACCGTGCGACAGCGCAGTGCGGCGCGAATCCAGAGAGTCCAGCGATCGGGCCCGCGCCAACGAGCGCGACCGCGACCGGAGCCGCGACGGGGGCAAAGGGCTTCGGGTGGGCCCCCTGGCACCAGCAGGACAGCGATCGGGGCCGAGCCAGAGAGCGCAACCGCGATCGCGACCGCGTTCGTGACAGGAGCGCAGGGTGGGCCCCTTGGCACCGGCAGAGCGATCGGCGCAACCCTCAGCACAGGGGCGACCGCCGCCATCCTGATCCCATCCGCCCCTGGGAAGCCTGCCGCGTCAGCTGGCCGCGACGCGCGCGCGAGACGGCGGCCGCTCACCTGAAGGGGCTGAAGGCCGAGGGGGGCTATCACTTCGCCGGAGCCAGGCACTCGTGGTGCAGGCGCAGGTATCAGGATCAGGGCAAAGGCAAGTCCAAGGACCAAGTCATGTCCGACCCGACCTGCTGGCAGCCCAAGATGATCGACAAGTTTCTTGAGGACATGGCGAAGGGCCACCATTGCGTGGGGACGTGGGCCCGGAACACCGGCGTCTACGTGGGCTGGGAACGGGGGGGCGCCCTGTTCCAGGAGTTCCAGAAGCCAAGGGAGGTAACCCAGGCGGAAGGGCCCGGAGATGGCCAGGCGCGCAGTTCGGGGTACACCGACAATTGGACAGGGGAGCGCCCCAGGCGCTGACCAGCTCGGGCACTGGCCGCCTCCGTCGGCGCGCGGGGCGCCGCTCCCGGCATCTCCTGATCCACGCAGGCCCTCGGCCAACGCGTGCAGCCAGCACGCCGCTGACCAGGCGCCCATCCTGATCCCCCCTGTCCCCCCCGCCCCTTCGCAACTGGACTTGGGACGGCGTGCCCCCCTGATCCCCGCCCTGGTCCGCCCAGAGCAGGGGCTGAGCGCCCGTCCGCAGAAGCCCGGTAGCCCACGGGCTCGGCCGTCAATACAGGCGCGCGGCATGGGCTCTCACGTGTGCGACTGGGACGCGCATTCGGTTACCGCCCCCCGTCTCCCCCCGCTTTCCACTTGGATTTGGGGCCGTTGGTCCCCCTGATCCGCTGGGCCTACCCTGATCCGGGCCGCCCGGCTCCCTGCTCGGCGGGGCGGCGTCCGCGTCCTCCTCCGCCCTCCTCTTTCTTTCTGCTGGCATTTGGGCCGGCCTTTCTCCTTCCTGTCCGCTTCTCCCCTCCCCGCTCGCTACCCCCCTCCCATGGCGACAGCGCCCGGCACTGCGCGGCTCCAGCCTGGTGCCGGGCGCCTGCTCCTTGCCGCTTCGGCGGCCCCGCTGTTCTTGGCGCTGCGCGGCTCAGGCCCGGCCCTCGACACTGCGGATCGGCAGCGCAACGCGCTTGCCAGCGCAGGGCAGACTTTCTCCCTGCAGCGCGCCGGCATCCTGTCGGTCATCGGCGGCAAGTTCACGGTTCGCCCGGCTGCCGAGCCTCAGGCTGCGGGCCCCCATGTCTGTGGAGTGGGCTACCACGACTGGCACTCCTGGAATCATTATGGTGGCGCTCCTCTTCCTCTCGGGCGTCGACCTGGTCAAGTGGCGCGCCTTCTCCCGCAGCGCGTGAGGCTGGTGTTCGCGAAGCGCCGCTGACGGCTACACCGCCGACCCTTTCTTCTCCTGGGAGTTCACCGCCAGGCTCCTGTCCAAGGTGTACCACCTTACCTTTTCCTGCGCGTCCCGTTCGGCGCCGCCTGATCCCCGGGTTCCGCTCGCTCCTGGCCGCGTGAGGCCCCGCCCGCCCTTGCCCCCTCTCTGTCAATTAAAGCTGTGCGCGTCCCGCGGAGCTTTAGCGGAAAAGGCTCGCTCTCGCCGTGCAGATCAAAAAGGTTCGCCGCTCGCGCAGGGGGCGGGCGCGTCCACTCCTGTGACGGGCTGGCGCGGGCTCCCTCGGGGTGGGGGCCCGTCTGCTGTCGCAGGGGCCCCTGGCCCCCAGGGCGGTGCGCCGCGCGGCGGTTCCTTCCGTTGCGGTTCGCGCCGCCTTGGGGTGTTCCTGGTCCAGGCTGCCTGCTGGAAGCTGCCGCGGCGCGGGGCCCTCCATGTTTGTGGTACCGCTCTCCAAACAGTGCGTGTGCCTGGGGTTTTTCTGCCTGTCTTCTAGGAAGCTTTGGAAACTGGGCTTGGGGTCGATCCGGCCGGCCTGTTGCGGCCCGTCGCCGCCCGTCGCCGCGCCGTTTTTGGTCACGATGTTGGCTGCGCCGCCCGTCGCCGCAGGCCGTCGCCGCACCATTTTGTGCACGATTTGGATTGTGCGAGGCGCGCCGTGTTGGTCATGATTTTGATTGTGTGAGGCTTGCATTTCTTACATCACAACATTTTGCTTTGTGTTGCTCTGAGCTGTCTCGCATTGCTTCGCATTTGTGTGACTTGATTTGCGTTGCGCTGCATTGCGTTGTGTTGTCTTGCGTTCTGCTGTTTTGCGTTCGTTTGCGCTGTTTTGCGTTGCGCTGTATTGCTATGCGTTGCCCAGCATTGGATTACGTTGTTGTGTTTTGGCTTGCGGTTGGTTGTTGTCGTCTGCGTTGCTGCTATTTCTTTGCGTCGCATTGCATTGGTTTGACTTGTTTTGTGTAGCTTTGCGTTGATTTGCTTTGGTTTGCATAGCGTTGTACAACATTTATTGCGCCAGATGGACTGCCCCACCTAAACTGTGCGACGTTGAGTGCGCCACCTAAGTTGCACCGCCAGATTGCACGACATTGCTGTTTGGGGTCAGCGGTGGTTGACAGTTGCCATTGATGGGACTCTTCGGGTAGGGGTGGCCCGGGGTGGCAGGGGCTCACGGTGTCGCCCCGTGGCCATGTAAGTCCCATTGCTCACGGAGCTGTGAACGTCTTCTCCGCATTATTCGTATTGTCCCCGTGAAGGCTTGACGGCCAAGGACGTTCTCGGTCAAAGCCTGATGCCCTGCTCTCCCTCGTGTTTCTCCTGCTCCTCCACCTCGCCCATCCTCCCCAATCACCTCACCACCACCAGCGCCACCACCATCTCCTCCTCCCCCCCCTCCTCCTCCTCCTCCTCCTCCTCATCCTCCTTTTCCGCCTCTCAGGAGAAGAAGGTTGCCGACGCCTTGGCCGCTCTGCGCGTGGTGGTGGATGATATCCGCGTCCTGAGGGGCCAGGAGGGCAAAGAGGCGGAGATCAAAGAAGCCACCGGCCGCCTCGCGGTGGGCCTCGTGCTCTCTCTTCAGATGGGGGCGAAGGTGCACAGGAGCAGGGTGAGCAGGAGGAGGGGGGGAAACTGCAGCAAGATGAGTCGTGGTGGCAGGAGGAGAAAGAGCAAATGAAAGAGGATGATGATGATGATGATGATGATGATGATGATGATGATGATGATGATGATGATGATGATGGTGGTGGTGGTGGTGGTGATGGTGGTGGTGGTGGTAGTGGTGGTGGTGATGATGATGATGCTGATGCTGATGATGAGGATGAGGACGAGGATGAGGATGAGGATGATGATGCTGATGATGATGATGCTGGTGATGATGATGCTGCTGATGATGATGCTGATGATGATGATGTTGATGATGCTGTTGTTGATGATGATGATGATGATGTTGATGATGCTGATTATGATGATGGTGGTGGTGATGATGATGATGCTGATGATGATGCTGCTGCTGATGATGATGATGTGGATGAGGATGAGGATGAGGATGAGGATGAGGATGAGGATGAGGATGAGGATGATGCTGATGCTGATGCTGATGCTGATGCTGATGCTGATGATGATGATGATGATGATGATGATGATGATGATGATGATGATGATGATGATGATGATGATGATGATGATGATGATGATGATGATGATATGATGATGATGATGATGATGCTGATGATGATGTGATGCTGATGCTGATGCTGATGCTGATGCTGATGCTGATGCTGATGATGCTGACGCTGATGATGCTGCTGATGATGATGGTGGTGGTTGTGGTGATGGTGATGGTGATGATGCTGATGTTGATGTTGATGTTTATGTTGAGTTTGATGTTGATGATGATGATGATGCTGATGATGATGATGATGATGATGATGATGATGATGATGATGATGTGATGATGATGATGATGATGATGCTGATGATGATGATGATGATGATGATGGATGATGATGATGCTGATGCTGATGCTGATGCTGATGATGATGATGATGATGATGATGATGATGATGATGATGATGATGATGATGATGATGATGATGATGACGATGCTGCTGCTGATGATGATGATGATGAGGAGGAGGAGGAGCAGGAGGAGGAGGACGAGGAGGAGAAGGAGGAGGAGGAGGAGGAGGAGGAGGAGGAGAACACGAGGAGGAAGGGAAACTGAGGAGGTGGAGGGGGGACCAGAGAAGCAGGAAGGAGGAGGAGGAGGAGGAGGAGGAGGAGGAGGAGGAGAAGGAGGAGGAGGAGGAGGAGGAGGAGAGGAGGAGGAGGAGGAGGAGGAGGAGGAGGAGGAGGAGGAGGAGGAGGAGGAGGAGGAGGGGGAAAAGAGGAGGGACTCCTGTACAGAATCGTTGCGGGTCCTTCGGAGCTTCGTCGTTGCTCTCCTTTCTTCCCTCCCCCAAAAAACAGAAGGATGAGTAAGATCTGCAGGAGCGGGTTTTCAGGATTCCGAACGCGGTTCCTCAGGACTCAGCAAGCAACGAATGGACGAGGGAATGTGAAAGCGTAGGGGGCAGGGGGAGAAGAGGGAGGCAGGAGGCAGGAGGCAGGATGGCGGGAGGAGGTTGAGGAAGAGGCACTGTCTGCTGGTGCTCCTCCACCACCGCTGGCGACGACGACCCGCGCCAGACGCCGACTCTAAGACGGATGCGGCTCCGGAGACGAGGGCGCCAGGAGAGGCCAAGGAGACGACGTCGGCGATGATTTCGGCGTCGGCGGCGGCAGGGGCGCCGTCGACCACAGCGACGTCGGACGCGATGCCAACGCCCCCACAGGGCATGCTGAAGGACGCCCGTGCGGCGGGCGTGCCCGACGAGAAGCTCCTGGAGGCCAGCAGCCCGCCGAAGGCGGACGGGGGCGCCGCCTCCTGGAAGCCCGGCGACGAGGCCGCGCGGGGCAGGGCCAGGTCGGACGAGAGGAGGGGATTTGTTGTACGTCCACGGCCACAGCCCCCTCGTCAGGGGCGAAACAAATGTGATGAAGAAGCCCAGGAACTTTGACATCACGATCCAGGGAACGTGCAGCGAGACATTCCAGCAGTAATCGCCCACCCGTCCACGAAGAAAGATACGCCGAAGGCACGATCGCGGATGCCAGCAGTGCCAGGAAGCCACATCCAACGCGGACCGCGCCAGGAAGCCACGCACGCGCACACGAGGTGGGAGGGCCGTCGGCTACGCCTACGGTTGACCCTTCGCCAGAGGGACGTCTGGGGGGGGGGTCTGCCGCCCCCTCGCGGCCCTTCTGAAGCCGCGCAACCCACCGCTCTTGCCTCGGGCCGCCGCCTCTGCGTGCAGACGGGAGGGGCAACGCTCAGCATTCGCAGGCCCTGTCAGCGGGTGAAGCACGGTGTAAGACAACCTTTGTCCTCACCCGGGGCGCCTGTCCCAGGACGGCTGGACAGTTCATACCCTGGCGTGCCACCGCAGGGGTACACATGTCCCCAGCCGCCCTGGGACAGGCGCCCCCGACGGCGGAGAGGTCTATTTGATACCATTCTTCGCCCTTTAACTCTGGCAGTTCCCGCGTGGTGATCTTTCGCACCACGCCGGCGACGTCGCGGAGCAGCCAGGAGGGGGCACGGCCGGGCCTGCTGCCGCCGCCAGGGGTTGGCCGTCGCAGCTGGATTGCCGCTCCGGGCGGGGGCGCCAGGCGCTTGGCATCGCTCGGACGCGTGTATTTTTTCCCAACCATCCTGTGTTGTTGGACCCTCGTTTTGAGGAGACGGTCCCCGCGTTCTCCTCCCGCCTCCTTCCTCCCTCCTCCTCCCCCTCCTTCCTTCCTGCGTTCCACCCACTCAGCACAACGTTTCGTGACCCCTTCTGGAGCTCCACTGAAGGCCCCAGTGGCAGGGTTCGCATGTCGGCCTCGGGCCATTTCGGCACACCCCTCACGAGGATCGTGGATCTCGACCCGACCCGACCCGCCCGTTAGGGTCCGCCCGACCCGACCCGACCCGACTGTTAGGGTTCTCGCGTGCCCTCTCGATTCTATGCACCACACTTGAATGTCCCGCCCGCCCGACCCGGCCCGCCCGTTAGGGTCCGCCCGACCCGACCCGACCCGCCCGTTAGGGCTCTCGCGTGCCCACTCGATTATGCACCACACTTGAATGTCCCGCGAAACCAGCGGGGCGAAACCAGCGGGGCGAAACCAGCGCCGGCGAAACCAGCGTCGGGCGAGACCAGCGTCGGGCGAGACCAGCGGCAGCGGGGCGACACCTCGGCATACTGTTATATCCGGCACACAAAGCGCCCACGGGGCGCCCACGGGCGGCCACGGGGCGAGACCTCGGCACACCCGTCAAACTCGCTGGTAATCTGAGAACCCCTAGGGGCGCCGGGTCGTCTTCAAGTTGAGTTCGTAGTTGGTAGCAGGACGGGTGCTGGTCTGGCAAATTCTCCACTGGCCACGGATCCGACGCACGAGGGAGACGTGCAGAAAGTCCGGCGCACCTTTTGGAAGCTTTTCCGGAGGGCGTGCGACAACAAAGCTGGAGTTCTCGATCTCGTCGATTGTAGAGCCTGGGAGTGGAACACAGGCACGGACCATTGAGCGGGATTCGCTCTGGCTACACAGAGCAGCAGCTGGAATTTGAAGCAATCCATGATGACTTAGAGCGTTGATCAATACCTCGCCATTCAGTTCTTCTCAATTGGTTGGGCACGCCACCGACGCATCAGGGAGGAGGAGCATTGTTGGTATTTCTCCAACTGTGTATCCCCGAGGTGAAGTCCGCATTGGAGATGGAACTGGCGGCACTGTGAGCTGCGACCGCTGCAGTATGAAAGGCCGGGTTTTTGCACTAATCGTAGCTACCTGTTTTCAAACAACTAAAGGACAGGCCCCCTAAGTGCAAGCACTGTTTGGGAACATGTTCAATTATTGAAAGGTTGAAAGGTGTTTCAATATTGGATCTCCCACGTCCACGGGATCTCGCGATATGCATTGTGCGAGAGATCTCAGGGCTCTTTTGCCCTCCAGAGCCGCCGACGGGGCGATAGTGCCTCTTTTGTGGAGCTGTTGTCAGCTTTCGAGGGCCACAGATGGGCTGATCTTCGACAGGAGTGACTGCGATTGAAGTTCCTGGGGGGACCTCCAGGGGAGTGTCTGGAAGGCATCTTGGAATCTTGAGGGCGGCTCTCGGGATCCGTGCATGGGCGCTGCACAGGGGGTTGGTCCGTTCTTCTGGGCTGGCGGCGCCTCCGAGGCTCCAGATGGACACATCTTGACAGGCTTGAGCACTGAAAGATTCGAAGATTCCGCTGCACTCGTTTCTTGCACCCCTGGATCAGAGGATCGCTCGGTCCCTCACTTTCTTCTCAGTTCCGATCAGCCCCCCACCTCAAGTGAGGCCTCCCCCCCTCGTCCCCCACCCGGCTTCCGCAGCCATGATGGCTCAAGAAGGCGTTCACTCGTCCCCAGAAAGAAATTCCTCCAGCCATGGCACCTCGTGTGGCCGCCGGTGGCTCGCCGTGTGCGTGGCGGCGGGGGCGCCCCCTGGCCGCCGCCCTGCTCCTGGCCGCGCTCCCCGGCAGGCTCACCCGGGCAGAGCAGGTGGCGGTGGAGGCTGCTGGGCGACGAGATCTGTGCAGTCAACCCGCACAGGAAGGGTGGGCAGCCTTCCCAAGGGGTATCCTTGCATCCTTGCCTCCTCGGCCCCTTCTTCGCATTCCGCCACAGAAAATCGACACAGATACCCTCCAACGGATTGTTCCTGGACCTCAGAGGAGGGTGGCGGTGTATAAATGACCACTGGGAGTCAGCGACTTCTCAACCAGCCGCTCTCCATGAAGGTAGATGCAAAGTTCGTGGGAGGATGTCCGTGTGAATATGCATATGTATGTATGTATGTATGTATGTATGTATGTATGTATGTACGTATGCATGTATGTATGTATGTATGTATGTATGTATGTATGTATGTACGCATGCATGAATGCATGCATGCATGCATGCATGCGTGTATGCGTGGTTGCATGTATGTATGTATGTATGTATGTATGTATGTATGTATGTAGGAAGGTAGGTAGGTAGGTAGGTAGGTAGGTAGGTATGTATGCATGTATGTATGTGTGTATATATGCATGTATGTATGTATGTATGTATATGCGTGTGTATATATATGTACTGATATATGTACACATGTAGGAGGTAGGTATGTAGGTAGGTAGGTATGTATGAATATGTGTGTGTGAATGTATGTTTGTGTATATGTATATATGTATGTAGGTATGGATGCATGCATGCATGCATGCATGTATGCATGTATGCATGTATGCATGTATGTATGTGTGCGTATGTATATATGCACGTATGTATGCATGCATGCATGCATGCATGCATGTATGTATGTATGTATGTCTGTATGTATGTATGTATCCATATACATGTATACATGTGTATGTATGTAGGTAGGTAGGCAGGTATGTATGAATGTATATGTGTATATGTATGCATGCACGTATGCATAGATATGTATGGATCCATGCATGCATGCACGTATGCGTGTATGTTTATATGTATGTATGTGTGTATGTGTGTATGTATGTATGAGTGCATGCGTGCATCATGTATGTATGTATGCATGTATGTATGTATGTATGTATGTATACATATATGAATGATTGTGTGCATGCACGTATACATGTATGTATGCATGCACGTATACACGTATGTATGTATGCATGTATGTATGTATGTATGTATGCATGTATGTGCCCCCTCGGGGGGGGCCGGGAGGGCGCCCCCGACGCGCCGCGGGGGGGCCGGGCTGCCAGGGGCGCCCCCCGACGGCCCAAGAAAGCCCCAGCGCTGCTGAAAAGGGCTGCTGAAACGCAGACATATCGCCCAAGATTGCCTCACGATGGCCCACAAGGCTTCCGACGCGGCCCACGAGGTCCCCAAAACCACGCCTAAAAGGGCACCCGAAAACCAAAATCATTGATTTTCTTTTTTTTTACCTGACAGCGAAGACTGATAGGTTTCTAGTAGGGTCAAAAGAGAGCATCATGACGCCACAGGGGGGTCTGGGCGCGATGCGGGGGGATGCCGGGGAACTCGTTTTAAGCAAACAGTAACGCACTTCGTGGTGTTCGAGTTCCCAGAACTCCATTCCTGCGCGTGATTTTGAATGCCTGGAGCCAACTGTAGGCCACTTCGTGTTCTTCGTGTTCCCAGAACACCACTCCCGGGCCACATGTTGAATGCCCCGAACCAACTGTAGGCCACTTCGTGTTCCCAGAACACCATTCCCGGGCCACATTTTGAATGCCCGGAGCCACCTGTAGGCCACTTCGTGTTCTTCGTGTTCCCAGAACACCATTCCCGGGCCACATTTTGAATGCCCGGAGCCACCTGTAGGCCACTTCGTGTTCTTTGTTTTTCCAAAAAAACACCACTCCTGGGCGACATTTTGAATGCCCGGAGCCAACTGTAGGCCACTTCGTGTTCTTCGTGTTCCCAGAACACCACTCCCGGGCTACATTTTGAATGACCGGAGCCAACTGTGAGGCTGAGGCTGAGGCAGGCTGAGGCTGAGGCAGGCTGAGACTGAGCCTAAGGCAGGCTGAGGCTGAGGCTGATGCAGGCTGAGGCTGAGAGGCTGACGCTGAGGCTGAGGCAGGCTGAGGCTGAGGCTGAGGCCGAGGCCTAGGCAGGCTGAGGCTGAGGCTGAGGCAAGCCGAGGCAGGCTGAGGCTGAGGCTGAAGCTGAGGCAGGCTGAGGCTGAGGCTGAGGCTGAGGCTGAGGCTGTGGCTTAGGCTGAGGCAAGCTGCGGCTAAGGCAGGCTGAGGCTGATGCAGGCTGAGGCAGGCTGAGGCTGAGGCCGAGGCAGGCTGAGGCTGAGGCTGAGGCCGAGGCAGGCTGAGGCTGAGGCCGAGGCAAGCCCAGGCAGGCTGAGGCCGAGGCTGAAGCTGAGGCAGGCTGAGGCTGAGGCTGTGGCTGAGGTTGTGGCTGAGGCTGAGGCAAGTTGCGGCTGAGGCTGAGGCAGGCTGAGGCTGAGGCTGAGGCTGAGGCAGGCTGAGGCTGCGGCTCAGGCAGGCTGAGACTGAGGCCGAGGCAGGCTGAGGCTGAGGCTGAGGCTGCAGGCTGAGGCTGAGGCAGGCTGGCTGAGGCTGAGGCTGAGGCTGAGGCTGCAGGCTGAGGCTGAGGCGAGGCAGGCTGAGGCTGAGGCTGAGGCAGGCTGAGGCTGAGGCAGGCTGAGGCTGAGGCTGAGGCTGCAGGCTGAGGCTGAGGCAGGCTGAGGCTGAGGCCGAGGCTGAGGGCTGAGGCAGGCTGAGGCTGAGGAGGCTGGCTGAGGCAGGCTGAGGCTGAGGCTGAGGCTGAGGCTGAGGCTGATGAGGCTGAGGCTGAGGCTGAGGCAGGCTGGCTGAGGCTGAGGCAGGCTGAGGCTGAGGCTGAGGCCGAGGCAGGCTGAGGCTGAGGCCGAGGCAAGCCGAGGCAGGCTGAGGCTGCGACTGCGAGAACAGCAGAATTCTACAACTGGATTCTCACCTAAATCTTAATGGGAATGCTTCCAGATATGCTTCTACACATCGCTGTTAGGTTGCTTTGCCGGGATAATTCGATACGTCGCAGCGCGTCTGCCTGTTCAGTTTGCCGGCGCTCCAAGCAAGTCCCGGACACTCAAAGATCGCTTCTGATTGATCAGCTTCCCGATGCTCCACGCATACACGCATGGATCCATACATGCGTAAACACATACATGCACACATACATACATGCATACGAGGAAACACATAAACACACATGCATACATACAAACATACAAACAACCATTCAACCAACACACACACAAACGCACAAACATGCATGCATGCATGCATACATACATGCATGCATACGTACATACATACATGCATGCATACTCATACATACATACGTACAGCCGATTTGCTCAAGCACTTGCTTTTGTGCCGGTTTTCCGGTGCGCTTGCGCCGCGCCGCTCCCGCTCCTTCCCCTCTTCGCCTATGTCGTCTCCGCGCGGATTGCTTTTATTCGAGGTTTGCTTGGCCATGGTGCCCAGTCATTCTGCGCGGTATCGATCGAGCCCAAAACTATGGTTGAGAAGGTCAATGTCATTGTCGATCCAGCTGTCCAGATTGACATTGCACTCCAGGTTGGTGTCCATGCGATGCTGAATTATCTAGAGTTCGCCCTCTTGCACTTTCACGTCGCAGACCGCGGTCACCGGCACTCCAACGGCACGTGTAGTACCCTGTTATATATATATATATATATATATCGCGTGATCGTGTCTCCTGCGTTGGGGGCCTGTCGGCGGCCCAAGACCCGAATGGGGCTACTGAGCCCGCGCCCACCGTCATCTGTCCCGAAGGCAGCAGTACTCCGTGATGCGCAGTGCGGATTGTCAGTCTACAGGCTGGAGCAAGGCATGGAGCTTGCATGACAAGCCGAAGGATGAAACGACAGTTGCGGAGTTAGACCCCGGCGCATTTGCAGCAATTGCCGAAGCGCACATCCAGCGTTTGGTCGACATGGTGGGTCGCATCCAGCAGGGCGTGCAGTCTGTGGTGGACCTTATGAAGATTGTATACGTGGCCGCAGTCCCCGAGGCGCAACAAGCACTCTTCAGAGAGAGAGAGAGAGAGTGCCGCCTTCCTGAATGAGCAGGTAAACTCTTTTGCCAGGGGCATCCATACCGATGTCCACGTCCATGGATTGCAGAACGCGGCGTACAATATCGGAAGAGAGTGTGTTGACCTCGTCGTCGAGCGGGGTGTTTCGCTAGCATGCAGGTTGGGGCTTTAAATTGCTGAGGGCGGGGTCGAAAACACACATGCATACATACGCGTATGCAGACACACATACAAACATTAATGCATGCACCTACATACATACAACCGTACATAAAACATACATGCACGCATACCAACATATATACATGCACTCACGCATGCGCGCATGCACAGATATTTGAACATACACACGTATGCACATATATATGTACACGCACACATACACCCATGCATGCACGCGTACGAACATTCATCCAGAAACGCGTGCATGCATGCACGCATGCGCGCATGCACGCACGAATCCGTCTATATATATGTATATATGTATACAAATATGCATGCGCCCACCCATCGTTGCATACACATGCGCGCGTACATGCTTGTATACATGCATGTATGCTTGCAGACTTACATACATACGTACATACATGCAGGCATACCGACAAACAGACAGACATATTGACAGACAGACATACAGACATGCGTACATCTCTCTCTCTCTCTCGCTCTCTCTCTCTCTCTCCCCTCTCTCTCTCTCTCTCTCTTTCTCTCCCTTCTCTCTCTTTCTCTCTCTTTCTCTCTCTCTTTTTTTTTTTCTCTCTCTCTCTCTCTTTCTCTCTCTCTCTTTCTCTCTCTCTCTCTCTCTTCTCTCTCTCTCTCTCTCTCTCTCTTTTCTCTCTCTCTCTCTTTTTTTTTTTTTTTTTTTTTCTTTTCTTTCTCTCTCTCTCTCTCCTCTCTCTCTCTCTCTCTCTCTTCTCTCTCTCTCTCTCTCTCTCTCTTTCTCTCTCTCTCTCTCTCTCTATATATAT